TGGCTATCATGGGATCTGTTGTCACAGTGGCCAGCTGTAGCCTATGGCTACCGTTACCTGACAGCGGCGACAAATAACAAAGATGGTTCAGGCGCCGTGTGCAAAGGCGGAGTTACGTGAACAACCGGGAGCGAAAAGTAGAGATCATCTGTCTAAACCCCTACATAGTGTTTGAGAGATCTAGGGCTGATGTGCAGACATAGCCCCAGTGAGCCTGATGCAGACTCGCTGTTTAAGGGCTGAACGGTTTAATCGCCCTACCTATAGAATCCTTTAGACCAGCGGTCCCCAACCTTTTTTGTGCCACGGACTGGTTATACGTCAGACAATATTTTCACGGACTGGCCTTTAAAGTGTGGGGGGTAAATATGATCAAATAAAATGATCCGACTGGCATAAAATCAAATAAAACTGATCATTATGTTGAATTAGTGGGAACCCTGAGCTTGTTTCTCCAAAACAAGCCGGTCCCATCTAGGCATAACCGGATACAATGACACGAAGTGTGCTCCTGGGGCCTGTTTCAGAAAGGAGGTTAAGTGAAAACTCTGAGTTTGTTAACGCTGAAATGAGGGAAACTCTGGGTTTTCTGTTTCAGAAAGGGAGGTAAGTTAAACCTGAGAAAGCAGAGTAAGTCAAGCCCGTTTCTGAAAGAGAGGTAACTTATACTCAGAGTCAGTTACCATGGGAATTTACTCTGTGAACCTAACCTGGTCGGGAGCAGGTTTTCTTCAGAAAATCCAGAGTTTATTTTGGTCTCCTCCCCTTTTTTAAAGAGGAAGTGGTGTTTAAACACCTCATTGATTCTTTGGGGACATACAGTATTCATTGCCCACATTTCAGTCACGTAGAGCGCATCAAAGGGAATGAAATGGCATGTCCTTTTATGGATGATCCTGTTTGTAAAGCCAGGTAGCTACTCTACTCCCATGATGTGCTCAAGGCTTACCTGCTTGAAGTATGTTTTTATATTTCATTTTCAGCTGCTGCCATGTTCTTTTGATGCCTGCAGGATTGCACCTATCCATGAAAACTAAATTAGGTTTAATAAAATACTGTTCTTCCAGTTTCACCTCTGATATTATAACAGTTGGGTAAGTTACTCTAAAATAGTTCTTAATTACTAACTACAAATTTTATCTTCAACAAGTCTAATTAGATTAATGTAATAATTACTGTCTCTAGAAAGTATTGGTCTACTTACTAATTTGTTTTACTTACTTATTAATTACTTTCTAAATCCCAAATCAACCTCAACCACTTGAACAATACAAGGAGAGACAAGAAACTGCACTTCTAATGCTTTCAAATAAACAATATTCAATTGCATGAATTAATCTTAAATTGACCAAAGTGTGTAACTAGAGGGAGAAAGTTCAAATCAAAATATACCTATTTAAAATATAGTCTTTAATTTAATTACAGTATTTATATGACTTGAGTAACTTAATTCATTACACCCAACACTGTATAAAAGTAATTAAAATGTAAACTTACACATTGACTCGAGCAGCTATTTTCACCCAAGCTAACTCTCTCTCCTTCGCTGCTGCAGCCGTGTTGCTTTTTTTTTTTTTTTAAATACATGTTCAAATTCTGCATATGCTTGCATAAGCACATCCAGTTCTGCTGGTGAGAAATATGCACACCTTTTTTTGTCTGACGCTGTTGCCATGGTGACTCGTAATATCTGTGCTCCATTGATGATGGCTTTTTATAGTTGTGGTGCACGAGCTTAACTCAGAGTCAGACAATTTAGAGTTGATTGAACTAACTCATTTCAGCTGTTCTGAAACCCAGAACTCAGAGTTTCCAATCTCTGGATAAGTCAACTCAGAGTTCAGGTTTTAACTCAGAGTTGGTTGAATTTCCTTATTGAAACAGGCCCCTGATGTCCAGTCTGCTCCGTAGCTTTGTTTTGGTCACTCTAAATGCAGGAAATAGGATGAGTCTTGACCTGAATTAACCTGTGTCAAGAGGCACAGATGCACCTACTGATGTAATTGGGAGAGAATACCGCAATTTTTTAAAATATTTTTCAAAATAAAACATCACTCAGACTCTGATAAATTATATATATATTTTTTTTCTTCTGTGCGGCCCGGTACCAAATGACCGACGGACCGGTATTGGTCCGCGGCCCGGTGGTTGGAAACCGCTGCTTTAGACCCAATTTACAGCATAAATGCAACATAAGCTGATTTTTGGAGGTTACACTTTAATGAATCTAAACTTAAATAAAAGTCAAACCCGTAAACTTGAATACAGCCATTAAGCATAATTTAACAAGTTCTTGCATCTAAAAACATATTAAAAACCATAAATGGAAAAGATAAATGAAAATGATTTAGTCCTTTAATACAAAAATATTTATTAAAAATACGTGCAAACGCTGCAAAAAATTAAAAATAAAAATAAGAAGAAGCTGGCACAACACAAATGAAAACAAATCTACATTTTTATGAAAAACAGACTTTTTTTAGTGCCATATATAGCTTAAAACAAAACAAAAAAATAAAAAAAAAATGAGGTAGTTTGGTCACAAAGAGCCAAACTTAGGAGCTTTGTTTTCATCTACTCACGATGTATCATGCTAGTAAATGACATAGGCAGCCTAGATGGGGCCGGGTTGTCTTGGGGAGGAACACGACGACGGACTAGCCAGCTGACTTGCATACTGGCTTTGACCAATATGCTCGGCCTCCTGTGCATCATAAATCATGTTCATGATGTTTCGCCTCAGCCTTAATTGTACTGCTCTATCTCTGATGTTTCTCAACTCAGAGGCTACTTGCTGTCCAAATAGCTCCGTGGAGTCTGCATTGGAAACGAGAGTTTTCTGTATCTGTTGGAGCAGTGATAGTTCGGCCATTTCAAGGCATTGCTGAGCAGATTGTGGCTTTTGTTTTGTTTCTTCTTTTTTCCGGACAAGCTGACATGTCAAAGACGAACTACTGTCCTCTTCCTCCACTTCAGCTTCAGTTTCTGACGTGGATGAATCCCCCTCGCCCTCAAATGCCTCCTCTGACTCAGTGGTGGGCTGTGAAAAACAGCAAAGAAATCAGTCAGAAGTGATTACAATGAAAGAAATTGGATCAGCTACTTCAGAGAATTTCACACTTAAGTATCACTAGGTTAAGGTTGTCAGGAGAGACTTTATATCATATCAAGAACTTCAAGGCTTTTCACTTTGTAAATTTTTAGTGTGTGCATTAGTTCGGACTTTTATCCATTATTTCCTCACCAATATCCCCTTTACACTGTGGTTCTATAGACTTACGCTCATTGTAGATTCTGTATGTCTGTGGATGATATGACCCTTTAAAAAATCCACGTGTTTAAGTATCCACTTCTGCTTGGGAGTCAATGGTTTCCGGCCACCTCCTCGCCTGGGCTTGGCTTTCAGCAGCTTTCCATATTGCGTCCGGAGTGACGTCACGCGGGTTTTAACCTCATTCACTGCAAAAGAAACAGGTGTAATTCATCACATATATTACCAGTAATTCTCTCTCTCTCTCTCTCTCCACACACGGCCCCCCGCGAACACACTACCAACCACAACAATGCCTTCTGAACCATGCTGCTAGTCAAGACAAAAACGTACCTGGTAGCTGTAATTGGTGTGCGATCGCCTCCCAACTTTTCTCCCTGTTTTTTCGGTCATAGTAGCTTTGGGAGGCAACATCAAAGAGGCAGGGGTGAGCTTTCCACAGTTCCACGAGCTGCTTCTCTGTCGACTTACTCCATCTCACTCGCACCGCCGCCATGATTCTGTGTTTGTTTTGATTCTGTTGCCTCGAGAGGAAGCGGAAGAATAATCCTTGTTTGCGCATGCGCACTGAGCGATTTGCCCACGGTCGTCCGAGAATCAAACATGTTTTGCGCATGCGCCATCAGGTCATTTGCGCATGCGCATCCACAGATATTTCCCGGTCGTCCTCGATTTTATTTTGTTAAAAATACCTAAATGACGTTTTCCCCTCCCAAAAATAGTGAACATACTAAAATATGTGTTAAAGGTTAATAATGTATTTCTATAGAAAATAAATACCTTAAAATCCTTTCTTTTATCAGTCGCCTCTGCGCGGTCTGCACCGGAAATGGGATCTTAAAATACTTCCGGGAGCTAACTTTTTCGCCTTTTGGATTTAAACATAAATCTAGTCTTTTTGAGTTGTATGTGTTCGTTTCGTTTTAACATTATGCTATATATTGCATAATCTAAAGAACGAAACACCTAAAATGCAGATTAAAATGTTTAATCATATTTTGCCGGACTGCTCTGAGCGTGACTGATGACGTCAGAGACGCAGTTTAACGAAGAAAACGTAAAAAGTATAAAAATTGTCTCAAAAAAGTCATAAAACATTTTTACAGATGTGTCTTAACATTCTTTAGTGAGTTAAGAATAGAAACAAGTAATTTTAATAACATAATTACATTATGTATGGACACCCGTATGTATAGTTGTTCGCGCATGCGCGGGACGGATCGTGTAGTTACAGGTGGTCACGAGAGGCCGATCGCTCCCGTTACCTCCTGTATACTGTTGGCTCGAAAAGGGCAAAAAAAATAAATAAATCGTAGTGTAAGCCCGGCTTAAGCCCACTTCAAACAAACTAGTCTGGTAATAGTAATCAGCTCTTTTTTCAGGGTTACCAATAAACCAGGGGTCATGGTCATGTTTCCCTGGTGACCGGTGGATTTCTCCATTAATAAAATATTATGCATACTGAGGTTTAACATGTACTCAACTTATCTTAAATTGGATGATCTGAGATATCGAAGTGTCACAACAAAATTAGACTTATAAACCGGGGTTTATGTTTTCACATCCTTATATCTTTAATAAGTTTCAACCTTATGAGGAAACTGAACTGAGAAAAAAAACAAAAAAACGGGTTTTGGCTAACCAGATTGATTTTGGTCAAGGAAGCTGGTTTGGCTTCTCATCAGCAAGGCAGACATTTATTTTTTTTTAATAAAATGATGAACACCAGTAATGAATACATTTTATTAAACCACTTTCACATGTTTAGCTTCCCAACATCATTGGAGAGGGGGAAAACATAATCCATTGTCAAAGAGAGAGAAAAAAAAACATTGTTCTAACTCGGCATAAATAGCAACATAAATGATCAAACATGATGGTAGGTTTGTTCGCATGTCAACAACTGTTCATGAAATATTCAGTCACTGAACACAAAGCTAAAGTTAATCCAGTATTCTTGCTTGGAATGTTTCTAACTCCTGTTCCTGCCTTTGGTCCAAAGAAAACAAATCTCCAGTTGGACTGGTTATGCAAACAAGGAAACCATTTCCTTCACTAAAAAGATAAAAGTTTGTAAGAGAAGAAAAATAAAAAGCTTGTTCCAACAAATTATTCGTATCTCTAACGAGTAAATTTCTCCACTGTGAGATCGATCAATATTTCATCCCTCATAAGAAAAACTAACTTCACTAAGATCAGCGACCAATACTGAAGGAGGAAACATACTGACAGTATAAAGAGGAAATGCACAATCTTATTCACAGGAACGGATGTTTACATGATGCAATATTCTAAAGATACAGCGAAGACAGATCTCCCTAAAAACAAATATTACATATTATAGGACTTTATTCGGGGTTTCTCCCTTCATGTAACAAATAATACAAAATTTTAAAAAAGGCATTTGGGACAAAACATTTCTGTAACTTTGGCACAAAAAGTTCCCATAATAAAAAAACAAGCTGAATCAAACCGCTGGTTTTAAATCGAAAGGATTGCTCAAAAAAAAAAAAGAAAATTCAGAAATACAGTTCATCATGATATGTTTATTATTCAGGGCTAAAGATGCAGATTTGTAAAATACTAAAGGATGGCATCCAACATCCTGTGGGTATAAAAATAAACCATCTGCCTGCCTCCAGGTTTTCTAACCTGCCTTTTTTCTCCCATCTCTACCCACTGCTTTTAATAATCCGTCCCATCCTCATGGTACAGCTGATGATGGGACTCTTCCTGGTAACCCTGGTAACCCTCGTCGTTGTCGGGGTAGTAGTCGCGGCCGCTGCCGGCTCCGTTCTGATCGTTGGGAACCTCTCCGGCTTTGGGGCAATACTTGGAGTCGTAGATCTGCCGGCCCAGGCCGAAGTTCTGCCCGCTCTGATTGGCTCCCTGGCTGTAGCCCATCTGTAGAGACATGGTGCTGTTGTCGCACTTGTCTGTGCCCAGTTTCTGGTCGTAAATGGCCCGCCTGGTCCCAGGAGCAGTCATCCCGGCCTGAAGGGAAAAACAATCGGGTTCATTTGGATTAGACCCCTCCCCCCACTGATTCCACAGAGCTGAAAGTTTCGATGCGCTACCTGACTGGCTCCCTTGTTGGTTCCCATTTGCAGGCTGATAGTGGTGTTGTCCATGGGGGGCTGGATTTGAACTTTGGGGTCATATAAATGCCTCCTGGTGCCGTACGCGTTCATACCGGCCTGGCTGGCACACTTGTTGGTCCCCATCTTTACAGAAAAAGTCAGGAGACATGGCTTAGTGAAAACAGATCGTGAAAGCGTGCAGATCTTACTTTAATTATCCGTTACTGCAGCTCGGAGCCACAAGGCCAGCAGTCGTCTAATGTGTGATTCAACGTTTCAGACGGCCGCCTGTCAGACTTAAGAATAGTGTCGCCGTGTGACAACACACAAAGTTGTATATCAAGTTGTGCAAGTAGCACTCATGTCTTCCTTAGCAACGGAGCAAAAACAAAAACAGAACAATATGTAACTCAGCTACTGTAACATGGCCTTTATGAAACCAGTCAGCTAAAAAAAGACGACCCTGCAGCTCCTGTTCCACAGAAATTAACCAAAAATACAGATCTAGCTTCATTAGATTGACTTGTTGAACCTTAGTTTCCTAAAGACGGAGTGTAACATCTATTGTATTCCAGCATGGGATGCCGTCATGGGAGAGAGCAACTGTAAATAGGGGAGCTGTTCCCATGAAGCCATGCAGGACGAAGCAGCAGGTACCTGTAAGCCGATGACACACTGTCCCGCCTTCATCTTCTCCTCATCAAACATCCGCTGCTGTTTGTCTGCGTACTTGATGCCGATGTCCACCCGTGACTGGCAACCTTTGGTCTTAGCCTAAAAGAGGGGAAAAAAAGAAGATTTTAAGATAAGTATTCTTTTAAAGCATCCAGAAGTATCCGAGTGAAAATGAGAATCCAAACAGATCAATTTATAAGGCAGTATTAGAGAGAAACGATTGAAAAACAGTGTTTTTCTTCGTATTATTGTTGAAAACAAAATGTAAAAACAATCCAGAAATTAAACTTTATTGAATTTAAGAGTAACATTTTCTATTTCCTCAGATTTTATTTAAAAATGCTGCTCAGTGGAGCAGCGGGTAGCACACCCGAAACATCAATGCAGCTAGAAGGTTCTGGGTTCAATTCCCGGCCTGGGATCTTTCTGCATGTTCTCCCTGAGCATGCGTGGGTTCTCTCCGGGTACTCCGGCTTCTTCCCACAGTCCAAAAACAGGACTGTTAGGTTAATTGGCTTCTCTTAATTCTCTTTAAACACAAATCAAATGAACATTTTGTCAAAACAAATCGCCATCAGAGCCAAAGATGCTTCACACACGGCTATGCAGACAGAGGGCTGCTGCAGGCGGGCTAACGTTAGCCCTGGCTGCCGTTACCCTCAAAGGTCCGCTGGTCGCCACGGTCCTCTCAACTTTGGAAATTTCTTTTTAAAGGCATACTATGCAACATTTTTCAGTTAATTAATGTGTTCCATAACGTTTTGGTTGATTAAATGAGTCATTTCAGGTCGAACAAAGGTTTTCTCGGCCGCCCTGGTGGTCTGTAGGGGAAATACCGTACTTGCAATTGCAGGAGCCCTCAGCCCGCACCCACAGGCTCAGAAGTCTCGTGCATCGCGAGAGTCGGTCTTGCTTTACGGCGAGAACTGCTACATGCCCCCAGTGAAAGGCATGCTCGTTGCTAGCGCGCCTGGCTTGACGGAGAAACCAGGAGAACAGCTGAGCATATTTACGACAGTGCACTTTTACTTTCGCCCTCTGGGGGGAGCCCCGCTGGAAAATCAACACCGGTTGCATAGTGTACCTTTAAATGACCCATTAATGTTCTTGCCTGAAATGCTCTGCAAGCACTGATTTGGAAGCTGCTGCTGCCGCAGTGCATGCTGGGACAGCTGTAAAAGGTTGTTTTTTTTCTCTGCGTTTCCCTGCGATGGATTTTTTTTCCTATCAAATGGTCCTTTTTTTTTTTTCAATTAAGCTTTTTCAGTTTTGTTTCTTTTAGATGTAGTTGACCAAATTACAATTCTGTTCGCCACTGGGGGCGGGTTTTTCGGAGCGAGGACGTGTTTCTATTGATCCGTATGGATATTGGCAATATTTTAAATCGGCCAAGATCGAGCTGTTAAAAAATGAGAGAATCTTATCTGTAAAACAGTTTGAAAGCCACAAATTGTAAAACTTAATCTAAAAAAAAAATCAGCAAAAATTAAAATTTGTTGAAAAAAAAAAATACAAATATTTTTTTAATTTACAAAAACTTGTTATTTTCTTCCAAGTATAACAGAACAAGATTCACACCCGCAGAAGGAGTGAGAAACAAAACAAAAAACCACAACATAACTAACACCTCCACTGACTGCTAAAAACACAATGCATTTAGCTGGAACCACTGCTGGATAAGAAGTACATTTATAGGCATGAAGTCCAAACATCTAGATAGAGATTTTATTAAAAGCCAATTAGTCCAGTTAGGTTTTTAAGTAAAAGTAATTTAACAGAGTTTATTCCAGCTAATGGGATTTCTGTGACTTTAATGGAAATTAATGAAATAAATTTTAAAACCATTATAAACATTTTAAGCCCATGCTTACTGAGTAACTTGGTAAGTTAAATAGAAAGTCATTACTAAACATCTCCCTGTTTGCTAACAAGCTGAAGCCAGCTGCCTTGTTTAAATACCAACTATCTAGGATGAGGTGAAAATCTTAGTTGATAAACAATGAACAAACAGAAAGAAAGAAAGAAAAATAAACCGTTGGGCGTTGGAAGCGAGTCAAAGTGTTGACTGATCTTCTATCCTCCTGGTTTAAGGGAAATAGGGCCGATCGATTGGCTAAAGGATCAATCAGTGCAAACCTTAAACTGATTTCATCTAAATCCCCAAACAGAAAGTTTTAGTTTAATAAGCCGTTTCTAATTATGAGTCTGTGAAGAAAAGCTGGCCGTTAGGCGATAAACTAGTTCCAACAGGATGATTTGCTGTCCTGATTTATTTTATGAACACTGAAACTAGAGATAGACTGATAAGTTCTTTTTTTTTTTTTTACCTGTAAATAGATTCCAGAAAAAAAAAGTAAAAAATATTGGACGAAAGAAACTGCTGAAAAATATCAGCAGCACATATGGCGGATCGACTAATAAAGTAATAAATACCAGCCTTAAAAGAAACAAAACATAAAACCCTGTTATCAGTCGATCTCTATCTGAAACCTGCTTTCCTTTTTATTGTCGGATCAAATAGGAGACAGACTGAATCTGTTTATTAAAAAAACACAAAAGATGCAACAATGATCCTTTGTTTCACGTATATTTTTCAGTGAAAGATAACGTCCGTATTTTTAATGCAGGTTTGTTTGGGGTGTTGTTAATTTCACAGGACTCTCCTCTTGGTTTTCCTCCAAAAAGGTAGATTTATTAAACTTTTCAATGTTTAATTCATTGTTAAACACCAACTGTATTTTTATTGAGTTTAATTGAGATACTAGGCCGTTTCTTAATATGTGTACTTGTGTGTTCTCACGTGCTCGTGTACTTGTGAAACATCAGCCTCAGCCCTAGTACTGCTCCAAGTCACCGGAACAGCAGACCGAGAACAGACAAAGTCCCCAGAGCGCTCACAGAGCTCAGAGTATTAAGTTAAAAGTTCTCTTTTCTGTTGCTGTTGTTCAATAAAACTACGTTTTAAGATCATTTGATGCGAGAACATTATACTTTAAGCGTCACTATATGATTCATTTACTGATTTAGTGCGTTATTAAAAAAGAGGTCTGTTGAGAGCATGTTGAGAGGATCGCGGCAACCATTGGACCACCGAGGCTAACAGCAGCCAGGGCTAACGCCAGCCCGTCTGCGGCAGCCGGCCAGGGCTAACTCGTTGCTCGTCTGCCGCAGCAACAAGGGCTAACGTCAGCTCGTCTGCCGCAGCAACAAGGGCTAACGTCAGCTCGTCTGCCGCAGCAACAAGGGCTAACGTCAGCTCGTCTGCCGCAGCAACAAGGGCTAACGTCAGCTCGTCTGCCGCAGCAACAAGGGCTAACGTCAGCTCGTCTGCCGCAGCAACAAGGGCTAACGTCAGCTCGTCTGCCGCAGCAACAAGGGCTAACGTCAGCTCGTCTGCCGCAGCAACAAGGGCTAACGTCAGCTCGTCTGCCGCAGCAACAAGGGCTAACGTCAGCTCGTCTGCCGCAGCAACAAGGGCTAACGTCAGCTCGTCTGCCGCAGCAACAAGGGCTAACGTCAGCTCGTCTGCCGCAGCAACAAGGTCTAACGTCAGCTCGTCTGCCGCAGCAACAAGGGCTAACGTCAGCTCGTCTGCCGCAGCAACAAGGGCTAACGTCAGCTCGTCTGCCGCAGCAACAAGGGCTAACGTCAGCTCGTCTGCCGCAGCAACAAGGGCTAACGTCAGCTCGTCTGCCGCAGCAACAAGGGCTAACGTCAGCTCGTCTGCCGCAGCAACAAGGTCTAACGTCAGCTCGTCTGCCGCAGCAACAAGGGCTAACGTCAGCTCGTCTGCCGCAGCAACAAGGGCTAACGTCAGCTCGTCTGCCGCAGCAACAAGGTCTAACGTCAGCTCGTCTGCCGCAGCAACAAGGGCTAACGTCAGCTCGTCTGCCGCAGCAACAAGGGCTAACGTCAGCCCGTCTGCAGCAGCCCTCTCTTTGCATGGCTATAAGTGAAGGACAACTGCCTCTGATGGCGAGTTTTTTGTTTTATCTGTCAAAATGTTAATTTGATTTGTTTTTCTGACTGTGTTCATTATTATTCCCCCACTAGATGAAAAAAGTAATAATTTATTATTATCTAGAGACCATTAATAACAGGAGGTGAATTGCAGCTCCAGACGAGGTGGGCATGTGGTGATGTCATCAGTACGCTTCTGTTCCAATTGACTCAGATTTATGCTGAGTTCTCCCGTTCTCCAGAGTCCACACTTTTCTGTTTTCTTCTCAAGAACATACTTGGCGAGGACACGAGTCCGTACTCGCATTCTTGTGAATTGAGAAACGGCACTATACTCTCCCAGCAGGCGTGTTCAGGTAAACATTCCCAATCAGCTTGTGCCCAGTGATTAGTTCCAGGACCGAACCATCAGGTAGGGGGGTGTGAATTTTTCAAGACTTATTGAGATTAAATTAAAATATTTATGTTTTGTAAGTATGGTTTCATTAGCTGTTCATTTAATGGAAATATTCTTGCTTGATTTTTTTTTTGCAGTTCTGTGTCCCTTAAATGGTTTCCCTCAATTAGTTCCAACTCCATTTAAGCATTTGTTCATCTGTCATTGCTCATGTGGTTAGTGGTGAGGGGAATTTTCTGAACCTACAAAACCTCTGAAATAATAAGTCTTAGCTGACATTCTTCTGAGCCTGTTCTTTTAACAGTCTGTAGGTCTCCTGCCTGACGAGCACGTAGCAGGAGATGTTCCAGTAACTCGCATCATTCAGCTATATTCAATGACGAAGATGCAAAAAGGTTTAGTTTAAAGGCCGTTAGCTCAGCACTCACCATGCTAGCGAGGGCCAGCAGCGTGGTCTGGACCTGCGTCATGTTGCCGTTCTCAAACAGGTCGTTGGCTTCAAAGATGTCATGAGGCTTCAGGCCGTATCTTGTGATGGCTTTGATGAAGTTCGTCAGGTTCTCCAGCTAGGAACAAACCAAATCCACGGTTTAGAAAGGAAGCGCCAACGAATGCATACAAAGAAAACGGCGCTGGGTATGAGCGGCAGGAAGCCGAGCTGAGGCATGCTGTGGAACCACTGCTCACTATGAGCCCGTTTCTAACAATCAGCCTTCTGTTCTGTGAATGAGCCGCGCCTTTAAAGATTTCAATGACAGATTAACCAGCTCACTCACCTGGTGCCAGTTCAGGGCTGACTGGTTGATCTTTTTCACAGAGCCGGGCTGCAGCTTGTTAATGAGCCTAAAGAAAAGAGAACAAACAAAAAGTTGAAGCTACCAAGTCTCTGTTTACGTGTCATCTTTCACTCCTGCGTCCTCTACTCACTCGCACAGGATGACCCCACTTTTCAGGCCTTTTTGGAAGTCGGGGCCGATGGCGCAGCCGGTGATGTCCTCGATCCAGATCCTCAGCTCCTCCTCTTTCTGAAGGTCATATTTCTGTGCAATCTGGTTGGACAAAAAAAAAAAGTCACGTCCATAAGAATCCCACTGTGAGAAAATGCTGGTGAAGATTCTTTGTCATCCAGGTCATAGTCAGAGTCATAGTGAACGCAGAGTAATCAGCTGTTCTGCTTTTATAAGAAGCATCAAGTCATCCCTGTGAGGTAAGATAGTAAAGCAAGTATAAACGGGTCCGACTTTCTAAATGCAAATCAACATATGGAATGCATTTTATACCATAATTGTTGACAGTGAAGAATTATTTTTTTGGAAGGAAAAAAATAAATAAAAATAAAAGTATGCCAGAAATATATCATTGGTGTATTTGGTGTTTTCAGATTTACTCGCCCATCCCCCCCCCCCGAAATCCCATAAAAATTAATGAAATAAAAAAAAAAATAAAAAAAAAATTAATGAATTGTAATTATTTTTAATGATCCGCGGAAACCCTGGATCATTTCCGCATGTTTTGCTGTTTTGAATTTAATCATCTGGCGCATGCCCTCTACGATCTCCAAGGGACTCAGAGCGGAGCCGACGGGAGCCACAGCGGAGGCTGTAGGCTTTGCTTTGTGCAGCCGGTCTGGAGCGCATCGGAGCGGAGCGCTGACGGAGTATGTGGGATTTCGGGGTTAGCCTGACATGTTGGTTGTGTTGCTGTTAGCATAAACAAAACGTGTTGCACAATGCTTGCACACTGTTGCACTTTAATCCACAACTTTCTTTCCACCGTCATCATAGGTCACTCTAAATGCAAAGCGCTCCCATACAGCAGACCTATAAAGTGCTGCTGGCGCGTCTTCCAACTCCTGTTCTTTCCCACTCGCCATACCCACACAATTCTCCACAACAACTGATTTTTTTCTGTTACACCCGGCTACGCTGCTTCGCTTCTTCTTCTTGTTTACTACTGGTGGTTGGCTTTGGTCGCAGTACCGCCACCTTCTGCTCTGGAGTGTAAACGCTTCACCTATGAGAAAAAGGAGCAGCGCATGAACCGAACGCAACACACGCGAACCAAACCGAGACAGTCGAACCGAACGGTTCGGACGGTTTTCATAAACCGCTCCATCCCTAATACACACACATCCATTTCAAACTGATGGCATCGGTACGGTATCGGCCGATACTGCACAGTCAGGTATCGGGGCCAAAAAATGGCATTGGCGCAACACTAACAAGAACATTCTCTGCCTCCTTTGTTTTTCATCTGTCATGGTTGCAGGGCGTAGATGAAGTGAAAGCAGGGAAAGGCTGGACCTGTTTGAATCCATAGCCAAAACTCTTCATGGACCTCGAGGGACCCAGTCCAGGCAGACCGGGTCCTTGAAGGATGCAGCCTCTGAAACTGAAGGCACCCTATATCTCTGCTATAACCTTGTTTTCAACAGATCCGCAGCACAATGACTGATCGACTGTTGCGTTTTCTTTTTTAAAGCCGGTTGACGAACAACCTTCAGGTGCATTACTGCCATCAACTGGTTAGGAGTGTAACAATTTCATAGGGGTGTAAATCATATCCATCATGGCGATTCGATTCAGTATCGATTTCCTGACCCAACGATTCGATTAATCGGTTACATTTTTTTTTTTTTATTATTATTATTGTTATTTTTTTTTTTACACCTTACAGGCTAAACTAAGTTTCAAGTTTGAAATAAATCAATGAAAGCTGTAATATCATTATGCATTTTCTTTAGAAACAACAGCAAATAACAGAAGTAGAAAAGTTGCATCAAAAAATACTGCACAATATCAGTGTAATGAGTTCAATGCAATACCTTGGCTCCAGAGAAACTGTCCAACATATTTTTTTAGAATGTAATAAATATACTCAGGAAAGAGAGATGTTGCGTAAAGAGTTAGACAGGAATAAAAATAAACTAGATATAAGGGAATTGTTTCAAAGGTCATCTGGGGATGTAGTTTTTGGTAGTATTTTTAATTTTCTAAGAAGAACGGGTATTTTAGGGAGAATATAATAGTTTGTCTGGTCCATACTCCATTCTGGAAGGTGGCGGTAATGCACCTATAAGTTGTTTGCCAACCGCCATTAAAAAAAAAGAAGAAGAAGAAGGCTCCAGAGTGACGACGTCACCGCCCCCTTGAGAGACGCTCCGCTGCTCCTCTCCCAGATTGTAGCTGACCGCAAACAGTGCAGCAGACAGGAGGCCGGCTTGTTTTGTTTTTATGACCGAAATTGCGGAAAACAACTTGTGAAGTTTGACCCGCTAGAAGAGCGAGGTGCGCGAGACCGCTGGGACCCTTTTTCCAGCTGAATCTCCGCTCTTTTTGGCCCTCATGTCCCTCCGTCGTCGGACTAAACTCGCCCCCACTTCCTCGCCGCCTCGGCCATATCTAGACCCACAGCGTGTAGCTCAGACCACGCTTCAATACTGAGCATAAATAAAAAATGTTTGCATCAAGCTCACTGCAACACACTGCTGTAAGAGTATAACCAGGAAGCGCGGTAGGAGGGCAAAATAGGTTTAGCGCCACCGCAGCACGGGAGGAGAATTACACCCAGGAGCAAAATGGATAAAAATAGACCGGAGGGGAAAAAAAAAAACATGAATCGATTCTCTTGCGGACGTGTCGATGCATCGATACAAAACGATTATTATTTACACCCCTACCGTTTCATCACGGGTTGGAGATTCATGCTGGTTAACTTTTGATTTTCACTTTTATTGCAGCAAACTGACATTCTTTTAATGGATTCTAGCTTTAAAATGGCATTTAGGTCAATAAACAGAGAAGCCTCAGCGTCATGGATGGAGCCACACAGTTCAGCCTCAGTGCTCAGAGCAGCGACCATAAAGGGGCTTTTGTCTGCCGTTGTTTTCAAATCAATGAAAGAAAAATGTAACACACAGATTTCCTGTTTGCTAAACAGCTCAGTTTTCCTGAGAACCACAGAGAGCAAGTTGATAAAAAAAAGAAAAAAAGGAGGGGCGGGAGTGTGACTTAGTCACTGTTGAAGTGTTGCTGATTTCTAAGATTTTCATTCATCACTGAGAAAGTGAGCAGGAGATAAACACACAGCGTCTGTCCTGAAAGCAGGCCTACAGGAAGTGGATTGTGGTCACATAAACAGTGGTTAGGCCTGAAGCGACAGGACGGGGGGGGTGAAAACACAGCAACACCTCTGGCTATTTGGGTCCAGCTGCTGTACGACGCATGACCCCAATTACCTTCTTCTCCATAGAAAGCAGTCTGCAGGAACGTCTACTTTCTAATTAAACTTCATTTAGTCGGCCATCCATTAGAGACGGCGGCGGCGGCCATCCCAACCGCCCACACAGAAACTCAAAGATATAATTTACCACGACGGGCTGAACACAAGGAATTTAGCCCACAGTGCTGGAATTATAAAAAAACAGAAACAGTAAAATGCTAAAAGACCCAACGAAGAGCAGGAATCGGCAATAAAAGGGTTCGTCCTGCACCAACAAGCATCTAACAGACCTCCTCTGGGTAAAAACGTCTTCAACAACAATGAATCCAAACGTTTAAACAGGCTCCGCAGGAAGGAAGGAAAGATTCAAGCATCTCATTTACATCCTGCTTGGATCCATTTCAAACGTACTCGCTGCTGTTGTCCAGTCCTTATTTCTTAGCTGTTAAGGATTCAGTTTATCCGTTTACCCATCCCAAAAAGAACATTTAAAAAACAGGAAATAACCCAATAGCTGAAAAATTAACCGTCTGATGAAAAATGAAAGAGTTCAGCAATAATTTCATGGACCCGGTGAACGTGGGCTGGATCCAAGGATTGGGAAAGACCTCATAAACTACGAAGGTCAGAGCTGTGAATTAGATCGGTCTAGCCAGTCGTGCAACTTTGGTCGCTTAGCAACCGTTACAGCACCTCTGAGGACAAACTTTTTTATTTTTTCTATGTAGATACATAGTTAGCTACTGAGGCAACACTGCTTCAAAATCTACCGCTTTTGTGTTTCTTTGGTGATAACGATAAAATTGACGATTAAGACGCTGTTTCTGAAAAATAAAGAATAAAAGAATCAGAGGAAATGCTTCAGCGTTCTGTTTTATTGATTTTTTCCCCCATAGAGCGGAAGAAAATCTATGTTCTTTTGAAAAAAAGTAAAAATAAAAAGGAGAATTATTAGGAATAAAATAATGTTTGTGTAAAAGGTATTTATGGATATAACCTTTATCTTTAACCCACACTGATGATAAATTAAATATTTTTAATTCTGGTTAAACTGCTGCATTTTTTTAACAATCACAGCAGCTTTACCAGAAATGATGAACCGATTATTCGTCTCCAAATAAACCTCCAGTAGAGTTGAATAAAATCATCACATTTTGAAGCCAAACTTTACTTTCAGCCAAGATTTGAAGGCTTAAGTAAATCAAGTAATGTTTCAGTATAATCTGAAGAGGCTGCGAGTCTAACCTCCATCCAGCGGTAGGGTGAACATGCTGAGCCGGTAACCAGGTACAACCCTGAATCTTTCTTTTTTTAAATGAATAGGATCTTAATAAAATAGATATTCAAGTTTAGCAGACCTACTTTTCTTAAATGGGTTGTTGATCATAAAAAGCAAAAGTCTTCAATTTTTATATCCAATTTTTGCCACAGTCGTCCACCATTGCTGCCCAAATTTGACCGATCTGCTTGAAACCGCACTGAATCATGGGAAATGTTGGGTATCGAAGGATGGAGCGGAGGCATGGATGGATTTGAAGGAAGCCTTATTGCTCTTCCTATTGATGCAGAATGGTTTTACATTGACGTTGGCATGGTAACCAGGTGTAAATTTAATACTTTTTGGACTCGTTAAAATTTATAAAAAATTTTCATTATAAATTTTAGCTTTTCTCAATTCAATTCAATTCAGTTTATTTATATAGCGCCAAATTCACAACACATGTCATCTCAAGGCACTTTACAGTTCAACCAGATCATACAGTCAAATTGATACAAAGTTTTCTATCTAAGGAAAACCAGTTGATTGCATTGACTCAAATACAATCCC